CAAACTCAAGTTAATGAATAGTGTTATTTCTGTTCTTAAAAATGTCTTAACTTTTTCGTTTTAATTCTGATTGAGGTAATTTTTTTCTAGTTAAACTCCAAAAGAACAAGCCCTAAGTTTCTCCTTTAACTCGAGTTTATAAACTCGAACTCAAGTTAATGAACAGTGTTTTTTCTGTTCTTAAAAATGTCATAACTTTTTCGTTTTAATTCTGATTGAGATGATTTTTTTCTATGCATTCACAACGAAAAGATGAATAAAACTACAAATATATCATATTAAAATTTATCATTATCATTGAGTTTTTATTAAGTGAACAACGGATTCAGAATCATTATTGATTTACGTGTATTTTTTATGAGAAAAAATACTATAGTAAGTCACCAATCATAATTCAAACTATGACACGAATTCTCTTACTAAACACCTTACTATGTAAATATAAATTTAAATTTTAACTCACTTAAATATAAACTCAAATAAATTCTCAATTTAAATCATAATTCAAATATACATATTTAAACACCAATTTAAATTATAATTTTAACTTAAATTATAATTTAAATTTAATTAAAAATTATCGTTAAAATCACTCCAACTTAAAAATCAAAAAGAACAACCCAGGGTTTTGGATGTAGAATGACAAGTCACTCTGGCCTGGTACAAGCCTACGCTCTTCGAACAAATTAGGCAATGCTCCTCTCTCTCTCTCTCCGCTCTTGCACGTGGACCCCTCTACTCTCTACCCTCTCTCTCTCTATTCAAAGGCGGGACCCACCACTCTCCCCACTCTTTCTCTCTTTCCCATGCAAACTTTCTCTCTCTCTCTCTAGAACAGGAAAAGAAGCCACGTGGCTTCTTTTGGGGGCAAAACGGACCAAATGTTTCGTCTGCCCCAAAAAAATGACACCTCCATTTAGGGTTTGGTAGAGGAATTTATTTCCTTATTTGAATCATGATTCGTAATTTATTACAGTATTTTTTTTATAAAAAATATACGTAAATCGAAAATAGTTCGAATCACATAGTTTAATCAACCAAAATAATAGGGTGCAAAGATTCTCTAACATCTTTGAAAAATGACACCGTATCATCCAAGCAATTCGAAAGTAAGAACACTCTTTTTCAAGTATGGATATAATAGTAGAAACCAAACATGGAAGTAAGGATTTTCCTTCTATTTGTGAATAACAAATTGAAGTTCTGTCCATATTCTTGTGTTATAATTGCTTTTTATAGTAATAACTAATAAAGTCTCGTTCATTTAACCGATTTGATTTTAAATTTTAAATTTTTTTACAGTAAAAAGTTTTAAAAAATAATCACATTTAACTTTTTTGTTACAGTAAAAAGCTCTCTCATAATATCAAATCTCAACTAGAATCAACAAACTAAACAGGCTCTAAAATTTTTTGACTTATTAAAGACTCGTTTGGTAAAACTTTTGTTTTAGTTTTTGTCAATAGAAGAAGATAAATAAAACTTGTGACTTTTCAATAAATTAATTGAGCCATGTGCTATACACGATAATTTTATAAGTTTGATTCTACATTAAAACACGTAGTCTTCTAAGAAGTTAAACCAGTTAATTAGAGTGAGAGAAAAAAATTTAAAACTCATATCGACATAAATTTTAAATTATTAGGAGTTTTGACCCCAAAAAAAAAAAACTTAAGTATGAGGACATTTAATAAGAATTATTTTAATTAAAATAAAGTGAGGAAAAGAATGTAATTTACGGTAAAAAAGTGTAAAAGAAAAAGGTCAATATTCAAACAAAAAGGAGACAAAAATAAAAAAAAAGTTTTTAAAAAATAAAAAGATAAAGAAAAGGGAAAGTTAAACCTATTAAAAAAAATAAAGTTATATAAGAGTTTTTGATAAAAAAAAAAAGTAAAGGCATATTTCAAAGGATTATTTTAATTAAAAAAATATTTTAAAGAATAATATTGTAAACAAATTATCAAAGAATATTAACAAAAAATAAAAAAGACAGTAGGTAAAAATAAGATAAAAAAATTAAAAATTAAAAAAAGGAAAAAGAAAAAGATAATGAGAAGGAGAAGAATGAGGCCATCAGTGGCCTCCTAAGTATAAAGAAATAGGAAAGTTATAAAGAATAAAGAAAGGTAGATGCAGGGGCTACAATATGGCAATCTGGAAAAAAATTGCGTCAAGATAATTTTTGATATAAAAGAAATTACATGAAAAACAATTAAATACAAACACGTTTGAAGAAAATCATTTTAATATTGACAAAAAAATTAAATAAAAACACATACAAAAGAAATTACGTTCATTCATTGGAGCAAAGTGAAATAAAAAAATTACATAAACAAAAAAAGTAAAAAAGAAAAAAATTTTAAAAGAAAAAATATTAAAGATGAAAATGTAAAGAAGGGGAAAAAAGGGGAAAAGGGAAGGAGGAGGAGAAGTCACGTGACACTTTAAGGAGAGAGCCCTCTTTTATGTATTGTTGGATTAGATATTTGAAATCATACTTTTAAAAGAGTTTAATCAATTAAGATGGTTTACTAATATGCAATAAAAATATTAAAACGGAGTTTATAATGTCTTCTTTAAACTCAGATACAAGTTTGAAAGTTTTTAAAAAGCTTTTATGAGAAGTCAAATTTTGTGACTTTAGTAGGAAGCTCTTATAGAGTGTCAAACAACTTCTGATGACGAAGCATCATTAGGCCTCGTTCATTTCACCGATTCGAGTTTTCAGTTTTAGGTTTCTACAGTAAAAAGCTCTCAGAAAATATCACATCTAACTTTTTCTGCTACAGTAAAAAGCTCTAAAAAAATGTCACATCTCAGCTCGAATTGAAAACTTGAATCCGCGAAATGACGAGGCCATAATGATTACAAGAGCAGCTTTTGATCGTAGGAACTCAAACAGTTTCTAGAAAGCTCTGCCAAACAAGCCCTTAATCAAACATGTTCTAAAGCTTTTCTAAAATAAAAAGAGATAAAATCATTTTGATACTTTCTGTTATAGCGGAACATCTCACTGATACCTTGCGTTCTAAATAATATTAAAATGAAACTTTTACGTTTTAAAAAAAAGGTTCTTTTGATACCTTGAGACTGATTTTTAGAGAGATATAATGTCTAAACTGCCCTTTTCAATAATTAAATAAAGACTAATAACTTTAAAAATATTTTTTTAAAACATTTTATATTATTTTGATTATTTAATTATTAAATGTTTTATAGAATTTTCATAATGTTTTAAAAAATTATTAGTTTCTTGTTAATAGGTGGAAAGGTATAATGGACATTTTATGTCTAAAAAAATCAATTTTAGTGTACCAAAAGGCTGTTATTTTAAAAAGTGAAAGTATCATTTTAATATTATTAAAAACACAAGATACCGGTGAGATATTTTGCTGTAATAAAAGGTACTAAAGCTGATTTTGGGCTTGTTTGGCAGAGTTTTTACTTTTAGCCAGTAGAACAGAGAGAAGCAAAAGCTGTGGTTTTTCAGTAAGTGTTTGGAACAATGAGTTTAATGGGTCAAAATGATTTATAAATTTTCTAATAAGCAATAAAAATGTTAGAATTAAGTTTATAATGCCTTAATTAAACTATGATACAAGTTTTAAAGTCTATTCAGAAGTGCTTTTTTAAAAGCCACAATTTTGATTTTGATTGAAAACTCTTTTAAAAAAATAAAGAACTTTTAATAAATCATCCAAACACTTTTAAAAACAACTTTTAGACTAAAAAATTCAAAAACATTTTTTAAAAAGTTCTCAAATAAAAAAGCTCTTTCCTTATCTTTTCTAACCATAAAAGTTTTAATTTATACTTCTCTCTTATACTGCTTAAAAATAAAAGCAAAATCTTTCAAAGGATCTTTAAATTAAACTTTTTTTTTTTGTAAGAAAACAATTATCAAAAAGATAAAAAAAAAAATGTTGACATGCTCTCTTTCCTTTAACAACTTGCACTAAAATACCAAAAAAAAAGAAAATCAGGTTCCTGGAATCATTTAGTAGACGTTTGATGGAGACGTTTAGTTCATAGATTAGAATCATGTGATTAGAACTATTCTCCTTTTACGTGTGTTTTTATGAGAAAAAAATACTGTAAAAAAATAATAAAAAAAAAAAAAAAAAAAAAAAAAAAAAAAAAAAAGAAAAAATATTTCATTCACTGTCTTCTTAACCATCAAGATTGACATACAAAGGAGTCCGGACCCCAACAATTTCATTCACTCTTCTTAAGCATCAAGATTGACATACTAGAGGAGTCCGGACCCCAACAAATATTCAAAATCTCAATTAGTTTGATTTCTCAGGTTTGAGTCGAGTACTTGAGGCTGAAAAATAAATTTATGTAAAAAAAATATTATAGTAAAAAAATTAATTTTAAAATTTTATAGTAAAAAATATTATAGTAAGAAGTATTGAGTTCTGATGCAAAAGCAAAACGAATGGGGCTTCATTTTTCAGTTTTCTCTGCTTTCAAATATCATCTTTATCAAAATACCGAAAAACAAAAGTAAAAAAGTAGGAGTAGACACAAATGGATGCAATATCATAGCAACTCTTTCAGTATTGGTTTTGTTTCGTTTTTTCTTTTTTGCCTTTTCTTTTCTTTACCTTTCCTTTTCTTTCTTTCCTTTTCTTTTGTTTCCTTTGATTCGTTGGCCGAGCCTTATAGACTGGTTTTTAAGATATAAACTTCAGAAAACGGAGCCAAATTTGAAAAGTATACGGTTTTCATGTTCTTTTTTTTTTTTTTAAATTTTTAGAATAATATTCTCAAGAGAGTTGGAAGATATGAATAGCAGACCTTTTTTTTTTTTTTTTGTTTTTTCTTTTTGGTACTTCACACTTCACAGATTTTGTTTAAAGTTTTTTTATAGTGAATTAAGCAATATTATATAAGGTTAATCCACTGTAATAACACATGAATCTATGATCAATACCATCTATTTCACTAATATATCCAAAAATATATTACAAAACAAACAAAAAAGGGAAGACTCAATTATTGGGACCCCAACAGCTCAAATACATGACTGTTCTAAGAGACTCCTCAGATTGCTTCAATTTCTCATCTTTCAACTTCTTAGCCACTGCAGATGAATAATGAGAACTTGGGATTTTCTGGGCTTGTGAATAAGATCTGATATTGGTCTTTGCATGATGTTGAATTGATCTCAAAGCAGAATTCCATCTACAAACGCCTTGATCTTTCAAAGCCTCTACAACTCCAATACTTGTTGCCACAATCCAAGCTCTGCTTGTTGAACTCATATTTTAGGTTTTGGTGAATTACTTTGAGAGTGGAAATGTAAAGAAATCTTGAAGTGGGACTGGTTTTTTGAGATTTGATTTGTGTTGGGTTCAGGTCAGATATTGTGTTTGTTATATATATACTGGGGAGGGAGAGACAGTGCGTGTGTGTGTGTTTTTGATGTAGAGATAATTGGTACAAAACCAGTGGAAAACTACCACTGGCTGTTTTGGAAGAAAAACCAGTGGCTGTTTTGGAAGAAAAACCAGTGGCTGTTTTGAAACTTCCGGTAATTGGTACGAAATACCATTTGCGTAGCTCATTGCTTTTAAGCAACCAAAACAAGTGAGTGTGGTCGCTAAAAACAAAACTGGGTCATTTTCGAAAGGTGTGCTTAGAACCTGGTTCTTCTCTCTCCAACTTTAAATTATTAATATTATTTTTATTTTTAACCGTAAAAATTATTTTTATTTTTTTTATTTTGATGTGATTTTGATTGAAAATTATACGCTACTAATAATCTTAGATTCTGCAAAATTAAAGGCCCTTGCTGGTTTTATGAGTAATTTTGAGAAACGTTTTGTTGGAGAATTTATATAATGATTTGTTATAATATTTTTTTTTATAAAAAAATATACATAAATTAAAAATAATTTTAATTTTATGATTTTAATTCATAAATCAAACGTCTTCTTAGTGTGAGTCATCTTTGTATTTGTTGTGAAGCTGCCGGTTTTTTGAAGAGCTCAAATCAAATTTGATTCATTTTCTAATCTTTGAAATAATTACTATAAATTAGTCAGATGCTTTTAATTAAAAACCTCTTATTTATGAAAAAAAATCCTACTTAGTTATCTTTTCTTCTCTCCCTTTCACTACTGTTTTAGTCATCCATGTTGTCAATTAGTATAAGTTATTAATTAGCCAAATAAGTTGTCAAGTTTCATCTTTTGAATATGTATTTTTTTTTCTTTCTTTTTTTAAGCGTAGTCTCCAAATTAGAAAGAATCTGTTATTAAAATGAAAAGTGGTAGGTGAATTAGTTATAGCTAACTGGCGGTGTCAAAATTCAACATATATACAATGTTCATAGTATTTACAAGCAGCCAACTTCATTCTTTTAGAAATGTTTCATCTTTGGCTTAGCTAAATTCCACCAAATAAATTTAAGACCATTGCCTTTGATTTCTAAAATTGATCCGATATAATTAAAAATTCTTTTATCGAAATTAAGAGCTTCTTTGTTAGGAGGGAAGAAAGTAAGAAATGAGATGGGTGAGGGGGACTGGTAAAAGAATTTTGATATTCATGGTTGTTTATAGTACGAGAGAATTTTATGTCTCGTTCACTTTACAGATTCAAATTTTCAATTCGAGCTGAAATGTGACATTTTTTGAGAGCTTTTAACTTAAATGTGACTTTTTCTGATAACTTTTAACTGTAGAAACTTAAATCTAAAAAATCAAATCGGTGAAATAAATAAAGCCTTAATCTTTTGAAAATATAGAGAGAAAATAGTCGAATATTCATTCCAAACACAATAAGAAAAATATATCCTCTCTTTCCTCTTTATTTACTCACCCAAATTATGTCTTTTTTTTTAATTTCGTTTTACTCTATATTTTCCTTCCCTTCACCAAACATAGCCTAAGAAAAAAAAATGTTGCTTAATCACTTCACTCTCTTATTAATGACAATGACTATAATGGCGCCTTACTCTGTGTTATGTGTTATGGGACAAAGAAGCCCCAAAATCTTTCAAATATTTAAAATTTAGATTTGTAATTGTTACACCATGGTTGAGGTGTTGACCGTTCCTCTGGACGATAAGCGCCGAGGCCTCTATATCGAGAATCGGTTGCTAGCGTCGAGGGATCAACTGTACTTAAGGTGCCCTCTACACGTTGAGAGTTCATGCGGGATAACGTACGTCGAGAGCCCTGATGAAGCGGTAAATGCCACAACGTTGAGAGTAGCAGCCCAGTCCAATCTGAAGATATTCCTGTCAACTTAAGAAAATATATATTGTACCAACTACTACTGTTGGAGTCAGGAAACTAGGTAGCTGGTAAGGATGGTTCACCTGACTGGGAAGCTGTAATTATAGAAATACAACTGCCAAATCACAGAATTTAGGGATAGAGGATGATTTTCTCAGGGAATGAAGAGGAAGTCTCTCCTGTGTACAAGGCCTATAAATAGAGCCATGAGAATTCATTAAGTTTTTTACACACTATTCAGCTATCTCAAAGAGATTGTACACAAAATAGTATTATTACATTCACAAGTGGACTGGGCCAAGAAATCTTGCCGAACCACTATAAATTCTTGTATTCTCTATATTAATCTGCGACATTAATCCTTAATTAATCCGTGAGAGGTTACTGTGAGTGTTCTCGGAGAGTTAATCTTTAGTGAAGGTTGTCAAAGGTACGCCCCCATCCTTCGGCAGCATTCAGAAGATCTAACGTCGATAGTCTCTCCCTGACCTTTCGCTAAATGGGGAATTGATCTCATCGGCCCATTACACAAGACCCCTGGAGGATACAAGTACGCCATTGTAGCTGTCGACTACTTTACGAAGTGGGTTGAAGCCGAGCCACTGACGACGATATCGGAGGAGAAATGTACAAACTTCATATGGAACAACATAGTCTGCCGGTTCGATGTACCACATTCTCTCGTATCAGATCACGGGAGACAGTTTAACAATGATAACACAAACCACTTCTGTGAATTGCTGGGTATCTATAAGAACTTTTCCTCTGTTGTATATCCCCAGTCCAACGGACAGGTTGAGGCGATCAACAAGATCATCAAAGTTACACTAAAGAGGCGACTCAGCAGCTACAAAAGAAAGTGGACAGATGAGCTACCAAAGGTCCTGTGGGCCTACAGGACGACCAGTAGGACAACCACGGTAGAAACTCCATTCTCAATGGCTTATGGGGTGGAAGTGGTCCTTCCAGTCGAGATATCCATTCCCACCAGCCAAGTGATACGGTACGAAGAAGTTAAGAACGCCGAGCGAATGGGCTTGGAGCTTAACATTCTGGAGGAAAGGCGCACTGACGCACAGTTAAGGCTCGCCACGTACCAAGCCAGAACTGCTAGGTACTACAACAGAAAAGCCAAGCACAAGCGGTTTAAAGTAGGAGATCTTGTCTTACGAGTGGTAACCCCAAATACTCTGGGGCCCTGGGCCCGACTTGGGAAGGACCTTCCAGGATAAAGGAGGTTGTGGCTAATGAATCCTATCAACTCGTAGAAATAAATGGTCGAGACATCAAGCACACATGGAATGCGGACCAACTGAAGATCTACTACCAATAACGGCGAGAAAGGTCTACCTAGAGATTACACTTAGAATTTTTGTTCCGTTTTCCATTTTATTTTTGTAGGCTGAAAAGTCGACGTGTAAACTCTACATAAATAAAGTCCAATTGAATTTTCCACTTATCTGATCTATGTAAAATACTACATCACGCTCGACTGGGCTGCATAATCAAAAATCTACTATCTACATCGACCAATAAATGTCGACCAATGTTGCGTTAAAGGCTAGTCAAAGACTATCTTTGACGAGGGGTAATAAGGCCACCCCAAGGTCTGTAAAGGTGGTAAAGCCCTGGCTTAACCATACTTAACCAAAAAACTTTTAGTACGTTTACAGCATTCATACGTGAAATAAGCATTTGTATGTATACGCGGGAAAAGAAATAATAATATATATATAAATAAATGGTAACAAGTCTCGACCTTATGGCCGTTACAGAACAAAAAATTCAATGTCTTGGCCTGGTGGCCCTCTAAGAATTATATATGTGAATAAATAAAATAGAAGAGTCCTCATGGTGTTACCCCATCCCCTGGCGCCTGCTCAGCATCCTCGGCACCTAGCGCTGTCTCGACCATCTCAACCTCCTCCTCATCAGACTCGTCGAGGAAAGACAAGTCGACCTCTGGGCGCTTCCTTCGGAAGCAGTCGAGAATTTGTTCCCCAACAGACTTCATCAAGGAAAGTTGAAGCTCCTCAAACTCAGCAGAGTATTGGTAAGCATCGAGTCTCTGGGTAAGAAGATTCTCAAAGGCTTCTGAGGATTTGAACTGTTCCACCCGCTCCTCGACTATGTCTTTGAAATCTTGGGACGACTTGAAAATCTCTAGCCGAGCATCGACCGAACGGCGGAACTCCTCAGAACCCAGGAATTCCTCTACAACTTCCTTTCTCTTTTGTTGGAAGACGGGAGATGCAAGGTATGCATCGATCACCTTGGAGCACCCCTCATTGAAGCCCTTCTGGAAGCTCTCGCTTTTCTCCTTGGCGATCGCCTCCTCCAGAGATTTGACTTTGGCTTTCTCGGCCTCTAAGTCCGAGGATAACTCCTCCCGAGTAGCATGCAGAGCTGAGATCTCCTCCTCGCAGCCCTCGACGGGACGCCCTGCCTTAGCAAAGAGTCGAGCTCCACATAGTTCGGGAGCATAGCTTCGAGAGCCTGGACAATGAAAAAGAAAGGGCATGGATAAGGCTCACAGATCAACTATGTGAGAACAACTATGTGAGAACGGAGGTCGAAAAGTGAGCAAGCAAAACCTACCGAGATTTGACGGACCACTGCTATACGATGGCGCTCCAGAAGGTCTATCCCTGTAAACTTATCCCAGGAGTTTGTGTAACGATCGGGAAAATTTTAGGTCTAATCCGGACAGTCCGATATTTGACCGAAATTCTCTCCAGAACAGAAAGTAGTAGAATTTTCAGCTCCATCAAGGAAATGTTATGTAGAAACTATATACAGGGTAAAATTTCCTGAAAAGTGTAAAGTTATAATATGAATATTTTTATTGAGAAAATTCATAAATATCAGTTGTGAATAGTGAAATATCAGCTAAAAGTTAGAAATTTTAGTGGCTATATTTTAGTTATGAAAAACTGAAATATTTGGTAAGTGACCAAATGACCAATTAGAAAGAGAGTAGAAATATTATAAGTGAGGAAAATAGCAAAAGTTCCTGAAACGGGATTTTCTCGAGTTAGTTAAAGCATGAAACTGCTCAAAAACCAGCACCGCGAGGGTACGCGTTTTGGGTAATTTTGAATCAACAAAAATAAAAATTTCAGATGAAGAAACTGACTAAAGAGATACTTAAGAGAATTGGGTTAAACGTGAGAAGTTTGACCCAAGGTACTCGACAGTCCAGAAAAGCAGTATAGAACTTATACCAGGTGTGAGATTATCGGTACTGAAAAGAAATTCGTTTTGAAAAACAGAAAGTTAGGTCTCGACAAGAAAAATGTGAGGAACATAGAACTACTCAAATTAAGTGTTAAACTTAAGTGGAATTAGTAAAATTAAATTATGATAATTAAAATAATTTCTTTAATTTAATTTAAAAAGTAATATTAAGATATTATTATAAATATTAATATAATATTCCATTACTCTTAAAAATGGCCTACGGATGACTTTAGAAGCCAAATATGGTTTCTTTTCCTAAGTGTGGCCGAGAGAAGAGGGAAAAGAGAGAAAATCAAGAATCACCCGTTTTCACTGAAATTTTTTCAGTTCAGTCAGGTAGAAAAATAACCTGATGCGTTCTAGTAGAGAATCTCAACTTTTAAAGGTAAGATTTTGAATTTTTCATGAGAAACTACATGTTTTTTCGTTTTGATGAATAGTAACTCATCTCGAAAAAAATCCGTAAAATTGAAAAACGAAATCGAGGTTTTGTAGGGGACTATGATAGGAGTCTGACGTGTAAGTATTGAAATGATTGAACAAAATTTTTTGTATTAACACTAAAAAATCTGAAAACCCTAGAAATGGAGAAAATGTGTTTTTGTTCAATTTATGTTGGAATCTGTGTTAAGGAATGTGAATCTTGACTCCAGGTACCGAAATCAGAAATAAAACGAGTTATTGAAAACTCAGAAAAGGAGAAAAATAAGGTGAAATTCTGCCGAAATTTCCTAAAATCTAGTTAGTAAGCCATGAGTTAGTAATCCGATTCTAGAGAATGGATAACGATTTTAAAGTTCGGAAATGAATAGATTAAGATTCAGAAACTGAGATACACAAATATGAGTAAATTACCTCTTGAGCTAGAATTCAACCTTAAGGGGAAAAAGTTCAGAAATGAGTTTGAAATTAGATTTAAGAATCTAAGTATGAAGAACTTCGATTTAGAATAAAAAATTAATACCTATTTCAATAAAACATGTTTTTGTACGAGAACCGAAGCAACAAGAAAGAACTCAAAAGCCACTCATAGTATTGTTAAATTACATTATCATATATTAAACATGATATCAAAATAAGCAACTTAATTAAAGAGTAAGTTGATTGCTTTTGCCTCTCGTCATGTGCTCTGAAAAAGTGGTCCGTGGTCCCTAATCTGATCATGTTCTTGGAACCATCAATAAAAATAAGAAATATATATATATACAACTACTCCATCATAAAAAATTAAGTGGACCTTGCAAGTTCTTGGAACAACAAATTATTGACTTCACCGAACGTGGAAATTGGGGTAGGAAAAGAGGGAGAAAGATAGGTGAGGAAAAACAGGGATATTTTCTTTGAGCAAAAGTCCTTAATTCTCTTAATTCTTCACTAAAATCTTCTCTTAATTCTCCAAAGGTATATCTCTTTCTTCTCACCTTCTACTTCATAGTTATGTGATTTAATTCCGCGAATAATTTTTATTTTTTTTTCTTTTTAACAATGAAAATATTGGTTTCACCACGTTGGTCAAATATTAGATGCACACAGTGATTTAAATCAAAACTTTTTGAACTATAATTCCAATCCGATAATTTTTTACCTCTATTTATCAATTTGCTTTACTCTTTTTAAAAAAAGAAATTAAATAAACGAAGCTTCTTCTAATAAAGTTAAATTTAATGTTTAAACAGAGTCCAAAAACTTGTGATGTTATATGCAGCAGATAATTGATTTTTGTTTTAATTGAGATTTTAGGCCTCGTTCGTTTCGCTTATTCGAGTTTAGAATTCGAGTTAAGATGTAATTTTATGTGAGAGTTTTTTATTGTAGCAAAAAAATTAGATGTGACTGTTTGTGAGAGCTTTTTACTGTAAATTCGAGTCAGCGAAGCGAACGAGGCCTAAGTTTGATATAAGGATTTGAGTTGAGATGTGATTTTATGTGAGAGTTTTTTTACTGCAGTAAAAAAGTTAGATGTGATTGTTTGTGAGAGTTTTTTACTGTAAAAAAAACTCAAATTCTAAACTCGAATCAGCGAAGTGAACGGGCCCTTAAAAGACAAAACTTAAGATATAATTGATTTTTAAAAAAAAATATATTTTGGTAGATGCCACCGGTAATATTTCTTTTGGAAAAATAAGTAGTAAAAAAATATATATATTTGATATCGTAATCTTTGTAAAGAATCTTTTTCTCTTAATTCCGTTGTAATGTTTTCGGCTTGAATAATAAAAGACAAATATGTAAAAATATGACCAAATTAACATGGTTGAAGAACATAAATTGTTGGAGTTTATATTATTTGCTTTAATTTTTTGGTCAATTTATTTTTCTTATTTTAATGTCGTTTCATTTGAAGTAGCCGTTTTTAAGCTCTGCCTGTCCTCTAGCCACTAATTTGAATCCTTGAAATTTAATGATATTGTACAATCAATTGTACGAAATATTAGATTCTCATACATATAATCTAAAAGTTAAAGTTATCGTTAGGCTATTTCTAATTTTAGCTATAGATTCTTTAAAAATTATTCAAAAAATACTTTTGAGTAAATTTATTAAATACTAAAATCAGCTGCAAAAACTGATTTTGAGAGCATAAAGCAATACCAAACTCAGCCATTGTACAAGCAATTGTATGTAATATTATGTGTATTATACGTCGATAGTGCTGTTTTTTCAAACGTTAAGGAAACTCATTAACATTTTGAAGAGCATTATTATGCAAATATCTTAGATAATAATAACCTCATATAGCAAATGAATAAAATCAAAGAGTTAATATTAAACGAAGAATATTTTATATAACTCTCAACCACTCCCATCATAAAAAATTTTAAATGCAAATATCTTAGATAATAATAACCTCATATAGCAAATGAATAAAATCAAAGAGTTAATATTAAACGAAGAATATTTTATATAACTTTCAACCACTCCATCATAAAAAATTTTAAAAATAATAATAATAAAAAGTATCACTAGAAAACTAGGAAAAAAGGGAAAGATTGGAGTGATTCTTTTTGTTTCTTTTGATAGCTAGTAACTGTTTTTAAGCTCATAATTATACTCTAGAATGCTTACTGCTTACCATCATTTCCAGCTTATTTCAGTTGTTTTTTAGGAAGAGAAACCATGGCCGAACTCGTGGGAAGTGCTCTTCTCTCCGGCTTCCTTAATGTCTTGTTTGATAGGATGGCTACTCAAGAGGTCCTTAACTTCCTCCGAGGAAAGAAAGTCCTTGCTAAGCTTCTTGATGAGTTAAAGATCAGGTTGTTGTCTGCTAATAAGTTGATGAATGATGCTGAGGTGAAACAACTCACTGATGAAAACGTGAAGAAGTGGGTTGATGAGCTTAAACAAGTGCTTTATGAGGCAGACCACGTCATGGACAAAGTCAACACCGAAGCTCTTCGGCGCAGAATTGAAGAAACTGATCAATCTGGAAGCAAAGCAAGTTCGTTCTTCAACTTCATGCCAAAGTCAAATAGTGCATTTGAAATCGGTGTGAAATCTGAAGTAGAGGAGATCCTTCAAACATTGGATCTTCTTTTGAGGCAAAAGGAAGAGCTTGGTCTCAGAGAAGGTGTTCACCAAAACAGACCTCAAAGACTGCCGGCTCCTTTGGTAGACGCATGTGATGTTTATGGAAGGGATGCTGAGAAAGAGGCCATCGTTGAAATGTTGTTATCAGATCATGATGGCAGGTGTAAGATTTCCGTGATTCCTATAGTGGGCATGGGTGGTATGGGCAAAACCACACTTGCTCAGCTTGTTTACAATGATAGCAGAGTCCAAGATCATTTTGCCTTGAAGGTGTGGGTAACTGTATCAGAGGATTTTGATGTTTTTAAACTTACAAGAATAATTATTGAGGCTATCACTTCTCATAAATGTGATATCCAAGACCTATATCAACTTCAAAATGCACTGAAAACTCTATTGATGGCAAAAAGATTTCTTTTTGTTCATGACGATGTTTGGAACGAAAATTATGAACTTTGGGATGCTTTAAGGAGCCCTTTTAACTCTGGAGCTGACGGGAGTAAAATTATTGTGACCACACGTAGTGAAATTGTTGCATCGAGGATGGGTACTGTTCCAACATATTCTCTACAGATGATATCAGAAGACGATTGCTGGAAGTTGTTTGCTAACCATGTCTTTGAAAATAGAGGCTCTCAGATACATCCGGATTTGCAAGAAATGGGTAAAGAAATTGTTAAAATGTGCAAGGGTCTTCCTTTGGCAATAAAATCAATTGCTGGTGTTCTACGCTCGTTATCAAGTCCGGAAGAGTGGAAAGGGATACTAGAAAGTGACGTGTGGGAGTTGCAATTTCAAGAAAACCAGAAGAATAATATTCTTCCGGCATTATGGTTGAGTTACCGGTGGTTACCTCCACATCTAAAGCGATGCTTTGCTTATTGCTCAATATTCCCCAAAGATTACAAGTTTCGCGAAGAAGACAGAGAAATTGTAGTCCTGTTGTGGATGGCGGAAGGACTTCTGCATCCTGAAAGAGGAAGAAGACTGGAAGATGTTGGAAAGGAGTACCTAGATGCTCTAATAGCAAGGTCCTTCTTTCAACGATCAAGTAGCCGGTTTGGAGAACCAACTCTCCTTATGCATGATCTTGTACATGATTTAGCTACGCGCATATCTAGTGAGTCTCGTTTACTGCTGGATGATTGCCGTGACTTGAATGGCCTTACAAGCAGCACTTACCTTTTGTCATATAGAAAAGAATCTAATGTCATCAAATTCAAGGATTTATCCAAAACCAAGTGTTTGAGAACCCTGCTAGCTTTACCATTGTCATATACCAACATGCATAGGTCAATGTTGACAGATACTGTCCTGCTTGAACTGTTGCTAGGAGCTGGAGGACGCTTAAGAGCTCTCTCTTTACCTGAATCTGCTATTACAAAATTGCCAGATTCAATCGGTAATATGAAACATTTAAGGTACTTGGACTTGTCTGGTACAAAAGTCAAAGACATTCCCAGTTCAATTTGTACTCTGTATAACTTGCAAACACTGTTGTTGTCACATTGTAAGGAAATTACACAATTGCCAACTAGCACGTGTTGCTTAATCAACCTACGTCATCTCGTGATCAAAGGAACGCGATTAAAAGAGATGCCGCCACAGATGTGCAAGTTGATAAATCTACAGACATTAAGTGATTTTGTTTTGGGCGAAAATGGTGGCTCTAGGATCAAAGAGTTGGGAGAGCTACAGTCTTTGCATGGAACTCTTTGCATTTCAGGACTTGAAAACGTGGTGGATGTTGGGGATGTGATACAAGCTGATTTGAAGAACGAAGAGTGGCTTACTGAGCTGATTTTAAAATGGAATTATGGAGAGATTGATGATTCAACAAAAGAAAGACAAGTACTTGATGCGTTGAAACCGCATGGAAAGCTGAAGAAACTCAAAATCAGTGGTTACAGGGGTACAATATTCCCTGATTGGGTAGCACATAAATCGTTTAGTGACTTGATTCAAGTGTCTCTGATTGAATGTCAACGTTGTTGCTTGTTGCAATCATTTGGGCAACTACCTTCCCTCAGAAAGCTTGAGATTAGGTATATGAATGGGTTGGAAAGTATAGGAGATGAATTTTGTGGCACTTCCTTGACAAAGCCATTTCCATCCTTAGAAAGCTTAAGAATTCGTAGCATGGATTTGTTGGAGAATTGGTCATTTGCTGGAGTTGAGCAAGGAGGAGAACGTTTCCCTCGTCTCAAGGAAATCTATTTAGATGACTGTGAGAAACTAAAAGTTGGACTACCCGCTGGTTGTTTTCCATCCTTGGAAACAATTGAAATTAGTAGATGTGAAGAAATGGTGAGTGTATTTCCAATAAGTCAAGCAGAGATTGATTCCGCATATCCCTCTCTTGAACGTATAAATTTAATGTTTTGTTCAAGATTAGAGTCATTTTCAAGAATGGGCTTGCCCTCTAATTTAAAGTCACTTGATATCAGTGGGTGCCCAATGCTCATTGCAGACCGTATGAATTGGGATTTGCAAAGACTCTCCTCTCTTCAAAGCTTACGGCTCGGTGGATGTGAATTTGAAGAATCGGTGGATTCATTTCCAGAGGAAGAGCTGCTTCCATCCACTTTGACTTCTCTGAATATTTATAACTGGGAAAGGCTTAAAGCCCTAAATGGAAAAGGCTTTCAGCAACTCACCTCCCTTCGAGGATTGGAAATTGGGTGGTGCAAAGAATTAGAGAGCTTGCCAGAAGAAGGGCTTCCCCTTTCTCTTACTTCTTTATCCATCCGGGAGTGTCCTCTGTTAAAAGAGCGGTGCCAGAGAGGAACAGGGGACGATTGGCCCAAGATTCAACACATTCCCTACAAATCTATCCATAGCAAAAAAGTTTGAGAATTTCCATGGCAAATCTTCTCTTCAGGTATTATAAATATGAATTTCGTTCTACTTTAGTTAATAACAATTGATAAATTTGTTTCTTTTTCTTCTCTATATATATATATATATTTCCCTGTTACTTTAGCGTTCTTCTTCTTTTTGTATACAAGTTACACACTTGTTTTTTTTGCTTTGCTTTTCATATTTGTGTGTGAATTTTAGTTTGCAGAGGTTAATTGAAAATTTCCATGGCAAAATATTATGCTGTTATGTTCTCGTATGGTTCTTTAGTTTTAAATTATCGCTGAGCATTATCCCATTGTTTAATAAATTATCAACAAGTAGACTTTATGTGCGTGATGTTATGTCTATAACTTGATTTGAACTAAATGATGTCCATTATTAAATTTTTACTTGTATTAAGATAAGGTTTTACCGGTGCCTTTTATGGCGTCCTGTAAATCTATGTCGTCTTTAGATTTAGAAATTGTCAATAATTTGTTATTTAGTTTTTGTACCACCTGATTATGATGACACATTCACATTATCTTATTGAGGATTTATACAATTTTCTTATAAAAAATTAGAATTTTCAATAATTCATAAATGTTTCTCTATAAGATTCTATAACTCGACCGTAATCTTATGCAGACTCACTTGTATTTTGCATCTTGTCATGAACCGCTATTGCAACTACTAAACAAATTTTGGAACGAGTGATT